AATGTACTCTCTCAACTTATTCGTTGTCATGCTCCATGTTACCCTAGTCGCTATGAGAGAAACTTAATTGCGGCCATACGTGGCATGCAAACGTGATTGGTCCGAACAGCGGGCTGTGCAAGGAGGCTGAGGCTGCGCCAAGGATGCGTTACAGATACGAAGCTTACAGGTGGTTCCAAGGTCGATCTCGAAGCAGAAACCACGACAAAGAGCCATCGCACACTCTATAATCTGCATGTAGCTCTACCTTCTCTTACGTTTAAGCCTCATGGAGCGACATTTGATTCCGCCTCGCGGCCCATCTGGCTTCTTTTCTGCCCCTTCTCGAAAAGTCATGCGAGCAAGACCGTCTCATCCTCTTCCCAAGGGTTGGTACGAGGCAACAGCTGAGAATGGTTCGAGTTATTACTACGACGATAGTGGTAACAGACAATGGCAACGGCCAGGGAAACCTATAGATCCCACGTCCCGGATGGAAGGAATGGAGCCGGCGCGGTCTCCGCACTGGGATCGTCGAAAGCGGAGGCGGAGCGAATTTGACGAGCGTACATCATCAATGCACTCAACGCAGCACTCTATCAGCAAACACAACCAAGCTGATCTTCCGCCGGCGTTTCTTAACGTTCCCCTTCATGCTGCAGACCTGCACAACTCATCGACCGGCGAAATCGCTGCCACCTCAAGAACCGGAAGCTTTCCTAGTCCATATGTGTTGTCCCATGTGGAAATTCATAGCAGGTCTCCAACTCCCGAACATCATTACTCCAGATACTCAAGCTATCCATTAAATCGACATCAACATCAGCAACGGGTACCGAGCGTCCAGTCTATGCTTGCTAATAAACCTCCACATGTGCCGACAACATTGCCTCCCGCAACGTCATCATATAAGCCATCAAATTTCCGGGAAGACAGCGAACGATCTCTCGGACAAGGATCAACACCTAGGCGTCAGTACAGGGGCTACCATACTTCTGGAACACAGTCCAGGACCTATGAGGGACTTGGGGAACAGCGACGTAGGGGTAAGCAAAGATTCGAGCCCATAACCACAGTCTAACATGTTGGAAGCAGGTCAACCAAGCACTGCAATGAGCGAAATGCATTCTCGACCTACTATGCTGGCGTATAGCGAACGAGCTGAGGTTTACGGAAGCCAGCCAATCCCCCCTGTAATGGCTGAGGACGGAGAGTCTGTTACATACATCAAAGAGGCTCCGGACCAAGACCGGCAACGGTATCAGCGCGAGGCACTAGATTGGGGCGAGGTATCAGAGTACGGCGCGGTAACAGATTACGGTTCTCCCTCGCCATATGGGAAAGTCTATGAGCATGATGAAGAGGAGGCGGAGGAGGCGGATATAGCGCCCGGACAGACGCTTGAGCGTGAGCATCAGCATAGGCCAGATCTCGAGCGTCGCCCGCGTGAAGCGAACTCCAAACTCATGAAACGCTCATACTCAGGTATCACCCCGCACGCTCTTCTAAGAGATCACAAAGGAGCCACCGCTGAATTGAGCGAAGACTATGCGACACGTGAAGCACGCTACCTTGAGCAGCGGGCCCCAAAATTTGGTCGTCAAGAAAATGAAGAGCCCACAAGAAACGGCCAAGATCACCCTGATAGGTTTCACCGGAAGAAGATGAAGTATACTATTTCAGAAGATCTTACGGAGGGCAGAACGAGGCGGCTCAAGGCCAAATACTTCGCCTTGGAATGTTCGCAGTCTTCGAGCTTGTATGCGTTGCGAAGGTGACACACGTTGTGCACAAGAGCACTGTTACATACGTATTTATATCATCGTCTTTATTTAACTCTGTACGTTAAGATGTGGAGACTCGAATGTAGAGACCCGAGTGCGCAGCGTTGACAGAAAGACTGGTAATGGTTCCCACGAGGGCCGATCACAGCCCTAGAGCAGTCGTCCAATCAGATCAGGTCTGCATGATGTCATGTACGCTGCTTTCTCCAAGCGTACCTAGAAGGTGACCCTCGATTTTAGCTCTATTGATCACTTCAGTTATGACTGTGGGACGACTTTCAACTGTCGAAATTGTTGTCGACGCCCCAAAATGTGCTATCACTGACGCAGCTCCGGAAGTACGGGCTGTGCAGGAGGGCTGAGCCTGTGCGGAGAAGAGGCTGCATGCTGCGCTGCAATCGTGGCACGCCCACCCGCCCATTACGCTGACCAGCGACGCTCTTTTCAACACACATCATTTCAAGCGGATGATCGAATGTCCGATCGCACGTGTCGTTGTTTTCTGCCACACGAACCAAGTTACCTCAGCCCGTGGACACGTTACACTCCATATCACGCGACCCGCGTTAATGCCCCCACGGCCGCTTCGCCTCACTTCCTCGCGAAGAGACCTGACCCTGGATAATCGAGAATTGTACAGGAGCCACAAGGGTTGAACGCCTTTATTGATATCTAGGTATTGGAGAACCTTTTATTCAATGAGCGGTCTTCGTGATCCGAGATGGCAAACGGCCTCGCAATCGCTGCAGCCGCGACCGCGCGTGCGCACAGGGTCAATGGCAGCACGCTGGATCGCAACCTCGCAGCCTTGGGACTACCGATTAGGGTTCAACACGACAGATGTCCGCGAGGAAGCTTTGAGCAAGTACGTCGAATCGAAGGCGGGTCAGCGTGAGGACACCATGTCTGCTCAAATGTCGACCGCAGAAGCCCTTATTGTAAGGCGACCTGACCTACTAGCCTACGCGCACTCAGACAAGCCATCAGTGTCAAGGACCAGCTACAATGCTCCTGTTGCGCCGAATCCTTCAAAAGACGGATTCACATCGCAGAGACCTGCGAATGAGTACCACAACGCACGTGTGAGAAAGAGCAGGAAGCTGACAGATCTCTCTGATGCACATATCGTGCAAATCCCGCCCCCTCCCCCACCTCCTCCAGCTCAATGGCCTATACTACCCCCTCCAGCAGTAATTGTTATGCCTAACGGTAGTAAACGCTCCGGAAGTTCTATCCGCAAGAAGCCTACGCCGTCCCCGTTCTTCAGATGGGCTGCTGGCGCCACCGCCCGCAAAGGAAGGAAGCGGCTCAAACGGGACTATGCGAGATCCGACACAGATCATGGATCACAGCAAGGACAAGATATACAACCCAACGTGGAACCCGGCCCAGCTTCATATTTCATGTCACCCGAGATGCAACATGATCTACTACCCAGCTCATCTATACCCGAAGGTATCACAGGGCAGCAAGGTGCATTTCCAGTGTCTGCCATGCACATGGGCAATGCTACACCACTACCTCTACCACATCCACATCCCGAGCCAACCTACCAATGTGACTTTCCTGGCTGTCACAAATCTGTTGCCCGAGGCCTGCTCGAGCGCCACAAGGAGAGACACAATGGACCACAATCGCAGCCGTCAGACTCACCAGAAGGGTCCAACTCGAACAAGAAACAAACAACAACCAGTCATACGCCCTCGTACACGTTCCAGATAGATGAGATTGACGAGCGTGATGACCGCTCCGCCAAGATTGCGAGCGACATCATATCTAGCTCAGCATACAGATTTCCTGGCGAGAAACTGAAGTACACGATCTCAGAAGATCGAACGATAGACGCACGTAAACGACATAAAGCGTGTTTCTTAGCTTTGAAGCAGCCTACTAGACATACCACCAAAGCCAAACTTCGTTTAGGCCAAGGCGAAAGCAACGAGTTTTTCGAGCCATGGAGATACCTATCACGATCCCCAGCCTCCACGACCACAACCATTGCATAAACATGGGCTTCGAATGGCATGTATTATTTAGACAAAGGTAGCTCTGCAAGTGACGGGAAAACTATCTTCGTACCAATGCAAGCTCAGAAACCTGCATTTAATGTAACGGCATCGCGAATGCTTCAGATACATCGGACGTGTGGCTCAATAAACCTTTACCAAAATAAGACTAGCGTTCGTATAATCCACCTCTGACCGGTGAAGCCAGGATCTACAAATAGGATTCGGCTGCGCTCATCCTTTCGCTATCTCTCATCAACGCCACCTCATCCTTCGTTTGTCTGGAACCAATCCGTACCGTATGGAAATCCACGCCAGAAGGAAGCGCCTTTGGAGTCCGGATGATGCAACAGAGGCAAGTGTCCTTGGTGACACGCAGCAATTGCCGCCCGAGGCTGAGATTGCCAAGCGGGCGCGTCTATCAACAGAAGGATCTGTTACACAACAAATCACCATACATCGTGTAAGGTGCCAACGTACACAAAGAAATCATGCAAGTCACCCTCCAAGCTCTTACTATTTCGATACGCCAGCCATGGTCGCTTCCGACAATCAAAGTACGGCCTTGCATGGTCAGTTCCCTTTGCGAGACGTGGATAACTACTTGGACGAGAACTTTGGGTTCAGTATTGTTGTATTCGTCGACTACGATTGCGAGATCTATCACGCAAAGATTAAAGACGCCTTTACGCGTCTTCCGATGCCTTCGATGCCTCACGATATGAATCTTGGCATGAAGCCATTTTTCCGAGTTCTTCAGCATGATGGACCAATAGCAGAAGCGATTACCGAGCAGCTGCAGCTATCAGAGACCCTTGAAGAATCTCTGCATGCGCTGCAAAGCCAAAGCCCAGAGATGCCCAGCGAATGGAATTTCGACAACGATCTCGTCTATCCTTACCCCAAACTTTATCATTGTCATCACATATTTGTCGGGCCTTTGAAACAAAATCTGGATTCACAGCAACAGACAGATCTTCAGGTGCTGTCTAGTTACATAAACGAGCGCTTGACCTCGGAGTACGAGAGGATGGAAGAATTAGCAGCTATGGGAATGGTAGACCGAAAGTATTGGATGATGCTGTTCCTGCCGGACGATACGGTAATCACTCTTCAAGAAGGTCAATACCGCGCCTTTACTGTGAAATCCTGCCGACTGGTGGATGAGAACACGCTGGAAATGGATTGCTGGTCTTGGGAGTATGATGGCAACTTCTTTCAAAACCACATCATGATGCCCGTCAAATGGCCCTCCAGGTCAAAGCAGGTAGCGATAACAGATATTTCGGTTTACCCTGTTCGCTACGCAGCAGAAGGGATCGAGTCTGCATTGCGTAACCGCGGCAATACTTTCTGGAGTTGCCGGCGTCGAAAATATGTGAACTACGATATGCCATTGCAACGGCTTGGAACGCAGCTTGTAAGATTACAATCCTGACAACAACAAGTTTTGCTGACATCGCCAGGCTAATCTGCGGTACATGGTTGACGCAGAAGCTTGGAAGCTAATGCATGGCCGTGACAATGACCCAACAACCCAAAGCGAACTCAGCAGTGAAGAGTTGGAGAATGATGAGCCTCCAGGTGGTGCATTCACGCTCATGCTGCCTCCAACTATCAAGGGTTATGGCTTTCACAACAAGAAATGGAGTATGTTCACACAAAATCATCTGGCCATATGAATGCTAAACACGATCATAGATACACTGCTGGTGGAACATATACAGGATATCAAATGGAACAGTGGAGTCTTCGAGAACCGACTGGTTCTCCAGGAAGACAAGAAAGAGCTGGTAAAAGCCCTAGTCACGGTCCACATTGAGAAGAGCCGTGAGATCAAGACCGACTTCATGGACGGAAAGGGTGAAGGTCTTATCATACTGCTTCATGGCGGACCAGGTACTGGCAAGACCCTCACCGCGGAAAGTATTGCCGAACTCGTTCATCGTCCTCTTTATAGGGTGACTTGTGGAGATATTGGGACAGATGCCGAAAGCGTCGAGAAGTATCTTGAGTCGGCCTTGTTCATCGGAAACACCTGGGACTGTGTGGTCCTACTGGATGAAGCAGACGTGTTTCTCGAAGAGAGAACGAAGATGGATCTTCAACGCAACGCGCTGGTCTCCGTGTTCCTACGCGTGCTAGAGTACTACGATGGTATCTTGATCTTGACGACAAACCGCATCGGTACCTTCGATGAAGCATTCAAGTCACGCATACAGCTCGCGCTCCACTACCCGCCGCTGAACAGAGATGGCCGTTGGGAAGTCTGGAGGAACTTTGTCAAGTCATTGTCGGAGGCTGGTGAGAACATCAACACCGAAGAAATAACCAACAAGCTCGATATCCTCGCCCGACACAAACTGAACGGTCGCCAGATTAGGAACACGATCAACACAGCTCGCCAGCTGGCGCTGTACAAAAAGGACTCACTGCGCTACGCGCATGTAGACCAGGCTGTCCGGGTTGTCAACGAGTTTGAGAAGTACGTGACCGACGTACACGGTCATGACGATGAGGAATATGCGCGAGATCAAGGCTTGAGGAACGATGATGCTTTGCAGGTAGACTGATCAATGTTACCCGTTCAATAGTCTTTCTTTTTTGGGTAATCTCGGTGCTTCCTATCCCTAGTTACCTCAGTAGCACATTCATTGTAAGCCGACAAAACGCAAGCCCATTGACTTTCTGGATACTGAAGTACTTATGTCGCAATGTCGTTGGTCTCTCAGGTGCTGCAGTCGCAAGTTCTGCTGGGTAGCGAACGCAGATTGCAGCCCGCGGCCCTGCGGATGACTTTGCCAAGGCGCTAACATCGCGACGCCGAAATAGCTTCGTCATTTGACGTTGTCCTGCCCTCCGGCCAGCACTCCTCCATTATCAGCCTTCCCTTCGCCAATTGTTGTCCGAATGTCGATACATCGCGCAAAAGTGCGCGTCTGCATCTGCCAGCCGTTTATGTTACAAGTAGCCACAGCTAGCACGCTGTAGGTTTGCCAGATTCGCCACACCTGCGGCCGAGCGACATTAGCCCTCGTTAGAGGCCGATCTCGCCTGTCATTGGAGTGCACTTTGAGGGACCGAGATTGCAGATTGTCCATACACACTTCTAGATGCCCTAGGGCAAATCTAGATGCAATGGGAATGCGGAACACGCAGGTGGCCAGTGAGAAGGTACCAGAGTGCATTAGCGCACTCAGGTGCGAAAAGCTACGCTAGCTCCCTGCCGACCCGCAAGTCCTATGGCCGCCTGTGTTGAGTCGGCTCGTCTCGCGTGGCGATATGCAAACTTTCACTTCATACCTCACGATGTCTGATGTTTGTTGAATGCAAGTATTTATTGTTTCTCTCTACTGTTGCAACGCCGAAGCATGGAGCCTGAGAAAGCTATTGGACGCCTCCGACCTTTCGTGGTTTAGTCGCTGGTACTGCGCATCATGGGTCAACATTTGGACAGCCGCGAGGAGACCAAGACGGACCGCTATGGGATGAGGAGAGAACGCGACGTACTTCTCCTTTATGGCGCAGCCTTCCGCAACATCCCCCAGGTTAACAACCTGGAAAACCATGTACCTCGCCTGTCTCTAGACTCGACACTGACAGCCTTGTGCCAACTTACGGCCATCCGTATGGGGGCGCAACGGTCCATGATATCGCTCATCGACGACGAACGACAACATATACTCGCAGAGGCAACTCGTGACTTACCCTTACGACCAGAAGCGCCAGGTGATGCTCCAAAAGACCTTTGGCTCGGAAATGTTAGCACTCCGCGGAGCTGGGGCCTATGTGAAAAGGTCTTGGAATTGGACCGGCATGATCACCCAGTCTTTGTCATCAATGATCTTACTACAGATCAAAGGACATGTCTTCGCACCGACGTCCAAGGGAATTCCGACATGCGCTTCTACGCCAGCGTCGCGTTGATGTCTCCGAACGGCGCAGTAGTTGGAACGCTTTGTATCTTCGACAATAAGGCTCGAGAAGGTTTTTCCAAAGAGGAAATCACTTTGTTCAAGGACCTGGGCTCTACGGTCATTAATTACCTGAACACATACACGATCAGGGACAAGTACAGGCGAGGGGAGCAGTTCACCCGCGGTCTCGTCTCATTTGCTGAAGGCGCCTCTTCTCTCGCTCCGTTTGATGGTGAATCTCGGCACAATTCGATGGCAGTCTCCCAAACATTGTGGGATCCATCATCCACATCATCGCGAGATGAGAAGGACAGAGCACCTACGGATAGGGCCACGACTGCGCAAGAAAGAGACGAGTTGCACCAGACTGTTCCCAACCAATCACTATCAGCAAGACCGAAGGCGAGTCGTGCCAGATCTAACCGACATCGGTCGATTCGGTCGCTACGTAAGGAACATCACTTTGCAAGTTTCTGACACAAGCACTGACTTCATGCTACAATGTAGAGGACTCCATCTTACCCACCGACTCAAAGTCCATGTTCTCTCGTGCTGCAAACTTATTGATGAGCTCGAGCGATCTGGATGGAGTGCTCATCCTCGATGCGAGCGTTGCAGCAAGCGGGGGACAGCGTCGGAACAACAGCGCCTCAAGGAGCGAAACTGAAGCTCCCTCCGAATCGTATCGATCTAGATCTTCCAGCGATGAAGCGAGCTCAAACAGCACCGAAGAGTATGCCCGCGGCACTTCCTCCTCGACGTCCAAAATGTGTCAGCTACTTGGAGTAGCCACCCCGAGCGACAAAGAGCCGGAATATGGGACATTATTGGAACCTGACCTTTCTCGCCTGTTTCACGAATACCCACATGGCAAGATATTTACTTTCAGTGCTGAAGGCGATTCCTTATCCTCGAGTGAGGAAGCGGTCTCGAGCCTCAAGGTTGCTGAACATCTGTCACCTACCCCGCTATCGAAGCGCAAGACCAACGATCGATCACAGCGGGGATCGGCTGCTATACAGGCGATGTTTCCGAGAGCACGCAGTATTGCTTTCATTCCCTTTTGGGACTTTGAAAGGTCCAGATGGTTCGCCGGCTGTCTCTGCTGGAGCAACGATCCATACAGATTATTGTCAGCATCTGTGGACATGGCATATTTCAAGATTTTCAGTCACTCAATCATGAGGGAGCTCTCAAGACTAGATGCTGCAGCCTTGGATCAGGTGGGTAAACGAATAAGACACCAATGTTGCGAGAGCTAAGAATGTGTCACAGGCCAAGTCGACGTTTATTTCGTCTATTTCACATGAGTTACGTTCGCCCCTGCACGGAATACTCGGTACGTTGGAGTTCATCAAAGATACGCCGCTCGACTCGTTCCAGACGAGCATGATGAACTCTTTGCACGCCTGCGGTACGACGCTGCTTGATACCATTAACCATCTCATGGACTACGCCAAGATTAGCGAGGAAAAGAAGATAGTCTCCTCGAAAAAACTGAAAAATGAGAACACGATACGGCTATCTTCGAAACCATTGAAAAGCCGACGACGAAAGGTTTCTGCGTTTGATCTCGGGATCGCAACCGAAGAGGTAGTGGAAGCGGTACTTTCTGGATCTTCGTACATTCCAGCCACGTCCAGGCTCATGGAAGCACCCATATCGCCTACAGATGAACACGCCATGTCGTTTCCGCAACGCCGAGCACGTTTCGTCGTTTTCGATCTGGCTTACGATGATGATTGGGTCTTTTCGTTTCCAATTGGATCTTGGAGAAGAATCGTGATGAACCTGTTTGGCAACGCTGTCAAGTACACTGAAACAGGGTATATTCATGTTTCCCTACGATCCAGTAATCTAGCAGACAACGCCGATGCCCCTACAGCGATCACACTCACCATTACGGATACTGGCTCAGGTATGAGTTCTAGTTTTCTCGCAAACCGCCTCTTCCATCCATTCTCCCAGGAGAACCCTCACGCGCCAGGCACAGGCTTGGGTATGAGTATTGTGCGCCAAATAATCGACACGAACGGTGGCAAGGTTGAAGTCAGCAGTGACCGCAACGTGGGTACCAAACTCATTGTCAAACTTGCTCTCGCCAGACCGGAGGTACCTGGTACGATGACAGCGGAGCGAGCGCAGTTTCTGTCTTATCTGCCGAGGCTAGAAGGCCGGAGAATATGCATCCTTCGCAAGACGATAGAGAAACCAGCTGAAGATGACAGCCTCTCAAAGACGGACGAAGGCCTATTACGCTTCACTAACGCACTGGTCTACACCTTGGAGACGCATCTTAAGATGGAAGTCGTGAAAACGAATGAGTGGGAAGGTCATGACGCCGACATGGTCATCTGTCCGGAGTTATCCTTTGACTACCTCGCTACGATCCGTAAACGAAGGCCCAACGGCCAGCGCGCCCCAGTGACTATCTTTGTCGGTATGGATGCACTTGAAGCAGCGACCCTGCGCTCTGACGTCCGGGTCACCAACCGGGAGTCGGTAGTAGAGATTATCACCCAGCCATGCGGGCCTTATAAACTCGCCTGGGTTCTGAACCGATGTTTGGATCGTTACGAACACCCAGCTGAAAACTTGCAACCCACTGGTGTGTCCAGCCCACCGCCGCAGCCCATGTGGCAGAGTCCGCCGCAACAGTCGCGTCCTTCAACACCAATGAAGTCGATGCAGAGTGCCATTGAGTCTCTCGATTCAGAATCACTCAGACCGATTGCTCCTTCTACAGCTGGATCCACAGTTGCGCAGGCTTCCGTTACTTCGCCTACGTCGCCTCAAGAAGACGACCCTGTGATATCGCACACACTCATCGTCGATGATAACCCGTTGAATCGACGACTCCTCGTCGCATTCATGAAGAAGAATGGTCTTCAATTCGACCAGGCATCAAATGGACAGGAAGCTGTGGATAAGTACCGGGAAGGACCGCGCAAGTACGATGTCATATTGATGGATATGTCTATGCCGGTCATGGACGGCATGAGCGCTACGCGAGCCATCCGCGAGTACGAGCGCAACAACAAACTGACAAGGTGTTCTATTGTCGCACTTACTGGGTTAGCATCGTCGAGCGCTAAGTTAGAAGCGTGGAGCTCAGGGATTGATCACTTTATGACTAAGCCTGTCAATTTCAAGGCGCTGGGAGACCTTCTCAAGAGCGATGAGGTGCGGAGGCATGCGAGACCAACAGAAGCGGGTAATAATGGGGCAGCAGCTGATATGCCTTCTGAGGAGGGTAGGACGTGAGGTGGCAGCGGTTGCTTCGTTGATCTACCCAAGATTCGACTTCGAGCCTATAGAGTGCGGGAGCGACTACCACATCCACTATCCTCCTTGATCTTGAGGTACGACTGCGAAACTGCCATTATTCAGTACATAATCCATGGCCCCACAGCTATGAACCAGCACGCCGCGTTCGAGAGAATAACAGCAAGCCAGAGATCTCCTTGACTGTAAAAGTCCCTGTCAGTATCAACCAATCGCAAAGACCAAGTACATAGTGCAAACTGCGCATACACCTATATCGAGCCATCTACTTCACTCTTCCTCCACCGTCACAGTGAACTGTGGCTCTTCCAACCCATACAGCACTCTCCCATCCAAAACCCAGTTGAACAAACAAGCACCACAGCCAGACAACGCGCCAAAAGGATTGATCTCCACCAACTGCACACTCCCGTCTTCCTGCAGCGCAACATCATAACTAAACCCATACCTCAACAGCAACCCCATAATCTCCTCACTCAGCTCCTCCTCCGCATACGCCACAATATCCCCCAACACCTTCTTCGCCCCCACATCAACCAGCTCAACAGTCCGCTCCAAGTCAAACCCCCACGGCGCCTCAAACCCCATCGGCCATCTATACTGGCTAATCGCACTAACCTCAAACTGCGCCGCGAGTGCCTCCCGCCCCGTCTTCGCAGCAGGCGGCGGAACGAACACGCGAAATTCCTTTGCAGGATCCATACCCTCATCCCACGGATTCAACACGAGTTTAATCTCCATCTCCCTCTCTTCTTTTCTCGCATCTTCAAACTCGCGCGTTAGACAGCCGTACGCGCGCATACTGGAGCATATCTTCGTGATGATGTCTTCGGCCGTGGAACTAGGTAGTTTGCCTCCCATGGGCGAGTCTTTCGGCGACATCTGATCGAGGCGGATGAACCATTTCCGTGTTCCGTCGAGGAGCGCAGCGAGTTTCTTCCCGGATTTAGTGCACTGCAGTGTTTCGACGACGTCGCTGAGGAGGGAGACGGGAATGCGGGATGTAGATACCCACGCGCTGTGGCACCGCAACAAATCCTCGTACAGGAAGCTGGGGAGGAGGATCTCGTGGTATTCGGCCAGGTTTTGGGAGGATGCGATGAGCGGGTGCCAGAGTGTGTAGCCGTAAGGTGTCCAGGGTGGTGTTTCGTGCGTGAAGTGTGGGTTGCATGGGACGACGGGGACTATTTCTGAGACAAGGTGGTGGGCGGTGCTGAAGCGTTGGGAGCGCGAGGATGGGTTGGAGGAGTCGGTGTTGGCGGCTATGGCGGTGGTGTCGGTTAAGACGAGGGAGTAGGGGATTTTGCGGAGGTGCATTTTGGGGGTTTTTGTGGGGTGGTTTCTGGGAGGCGGAGTGTGGACTGGAGGGGATAAAGTGGATGATTTAAAGGAATAAGAGAGCTGTGTAGATGAGTTTTATACGGCAGGTGTGCATTGCTGATGTTGGGCGTGGAAGTTGCGTACCGTGGTTACGATGGAGTCACGACATCCACATTTGGAACGTGAAGGGCGTAAGTACAGTTTGGTTATTCCACACTGTGCATTCTGCCCTTTCAAGGAAGCAACGAAGCTCGATTAAGTTATCTTTATGTTCCAGTCTATTCTCATTCTCATCATGCGCCCCACCATCATTAGCTCAAAAAGTTGTCTCCCCAGCCTCTCCCTCAATACTCCCTCCCACAGCTCCCCGTCTCGTACTTCTATTCGAAGATGAGAATGGCGAATTTCTGTTCACTGTCAAAATTCTCAGATCCCAAAGCAGAAGAACATACCTCATTCCAGCCTTTTCTCACGCCCCATCTCCAACCATTTCATTCATAAGTTCCTCCAAACCTCCTCCTTACCCACTCACTCACCCATCCCCCATCACGAACGAAAAGATCCACTTACCTCCTCCCTCCTACCCCGAGCCATCGGCCCCCTTCCCCCCAAACAAACCCGCGCAAAAAACAGTGGCAAAACAAAACACAATAGATTGGTAGGCCAACCCACACACATCTAACAAGCAACAAATTCCCCTCTCTGAAGGCTAGGTTGCAAGTCTCCTTGTGCGGGTGGTATGCTTGTCTGTCCCCGCCAATCTAGAGGGCCCCACGCAAGGGGGGCAGGTGGATGGTTGTTAAGGAAAATCGCTGGTACTGGTACTTTGTACATCCGGGAGATATAGAGTGTATCTGCGTCCCGACGCGCAGGGAAGGGCGGAAACATGGAAACAAGGGAATGGTTGTAGACGAGTGAGGGGGGTGGGGTGGGGCGGGAGGTGGAGCTGTGAGATGCTTGGCTGGGTGACTGGGTGGTTTGTTAGCATGGCGGTGGGAATGTGAGAAGATGGGAGGGAAGGGGGAGGGGTGAGTGGGTGAGTAGGTGAGTAGGTGGTTGACTGCTTGGAGAAGAGGATGGAGGGGAGATGGAGGAGTTTATATCTATCTAGGAGGGACGAGTTTGCTGTCAAGCAGCCAATGTGATCAATCATGCGTGTTGACTTTAGATGATCGTTGTTCCTGCTCGCAAACTTGATGTTTTACCCATATAGTCAATACAGCTGCACTCTAGACGACGACACTATTATGACACGCTCATGTACCCCACAGTCACAGTCAACGCAAGATTATCCAGTAACAAGATTACATTTTCCTGCCTATCCTACTCTGGAGCCTCCACAGCCCATGATACTATGTCTCTCTATACGCCAGTCCCTTGAACGCTAATGCAGGAAACCAAGAATAAACATCAAACACCATGATATCGTTTGATCGAGCACAGAAGAGTACGTATGCGTGCGGCCGAGCATTGTCGATCTGTACAGACCAAGTACGCACGTACCGTTCTTATAGACCTCGTAATCGACGACTTGGCCTTCCGGGCGGCATACTCGCAGCCAACAAAGCTTCGATGCCCGCCGCTTTCGCCTTCTCTCTCGTCTCCGCTGTCGTCTCCGGTCTCATCTCCGCTTCTTTAGACACGGCTTGTCAGCAAAAGTGCCAACAAGTCAAACAAGAAAGAAAAAAAGGAAATCCCCGAGTTACTCAGGGATTACCTCTTCTTACTTCCAGGCCTAGGCTTGCACTCGTCTCCCAGAATGGGGTGAAGTTTGATCTTGATGGGGTAGTTTTGCGTGTTGCCACCGTAGCCCTTGCTCCAGTCGTAGCTGACGGCGTAGGCAAAGATGTTTCCGTCCTTGCTGAAGCCCGTCGCGACGATGCTGCCGCCGACTTCGGGGTAGCCCTTGAGACGGTGCTTGGCGTCCTTGTCCCAGAAGTGGAAGGTGCCGTCGGAGCCGGCGGTGGAGAAGGTGCCGTGTTGGGGGTGGAAGGAGATGGCGTTTACGGAGTGGACCTTTGCGATGTCGCGGTTGGCGGGGTCTTGCTGGCGGTGGCACTTGAAGGAGAAGTTGAGGCTGGGTATGAGTTAGATGGTGTGGTGGAATATGTAGACGTGGGAATGCTTACCTGGTATCCTTGTCTTCGACATATTGAATAGCGCATCGTCCCTCGATGGAGCCAACGGCGAAACCGGTCGCATCTGTGAAGCAGCTCACGGCCCTTGTCTGCCACTTAAGAGGACTGGTGATGGTCTTGTAGATGGTTGTGGGGTTCGAGAGGTTGACCATGTGGATGTGGCGCTCGGCGGTTGCGATGACGAGCAATTGATCCTTGATGTCCATGCTGTAGACGCGCTCCTGGCACGTCAGAGTACCGACGGGCTCGGCACCCTGGAGGTCCCAGAACTTGACGGTCTTGTCCCAGGAACCAGTTGCGACGTAGTCCTTGCCGCCGGTCTGGAACCAGCGGACGCACTTAATGCCGTTCTCGTGGGCCTTGGCTTGTTGTGCAGGGACGGTGCCGCTGGCGGGGGCAGTGCGGAAGTCGACAATGTTGAGCATGCCTGTTGAGTCGCCAGCTGCTATACGAGTGCCATCCTGATCATGTTAGTATTCGGACATGACTGCCAAACATGTTGCTAAACGTACCTTTGACCATCCGAGACCCAGGACATGACCCTGGCATTCGAATATCCACTTTCCTTGCGCGCCATTGCCGTTGACCTCGTAGATGTAGACCTTCTTGTCCCAGCTGCCCACGGCAAGGAAGTCGTTCGTGGGCGAGAATTGGAGGTCAGATATGCTGTCGCTGGGCAGTTGGCCGGCCGGGACTTCGACGTCTTTGCTGGTGTCGCCGGTGGTGGAGCTAGCAGATGCGGCCGGTGCGGCCTGACCGAAAAGAGCCATCTCTTGTGATTACGTCCCTGTATCTGGGCGCGTTCGAAGTGCGGGTGTTGGTTGTTGCGAAGCTTTGCGCGAGGTTGCGGTGTTGATCCCAAGCTTGGAGAAGAAAATAATTCGTACGCGCTCGTATGGAAGTTTCCAGTCACGTGGAGGTGTTTTGAGACTGGCAGCAGTGAATAGGGTTGCTACGCGCGCAGCAGACCAGATGACTTTATGTTCTTCACCGACGACGCGCTCAGCAAAGAAACAGGCGCACCAAAGCTCTCCAGGCACCCTTGCAGGCGCCAGTCCGCTTCTGCCTAGCGCGCCTAGCTCGGCCCCCGGCCTCCGCCCCATGTTAAAAAGTTTCCGTCACCCACCTCTTTCTTCTTCCAACGTTCCTCGCTCGAAGAATCGCAACGAAGCTTACGCACAGAGCGCCCGCAAGGGTGTCTCGTCTCGCGCTTTGGGAGAAAGTCCCCGGACAACGATCTTTCGCGATCGCACTTTCAGCAACGAACCGCCATAGAAGCCGCGGCTTCCACTACCGACTACGACTCATTCCGCGTCTCTTTACCCGTTCGCACTCCCTTTTGGTTGGCTTTCCGAGGCCGTGGGTGGAGGGGCTGACACTTGGATGATGATATGAGTCCGTTAGCTACCTTGCTCACGTGCTGAGGTTCGCTGCAATACTGGGAGGAGGAGGGAGACACCGGGAAGCGCCAGGTATGGAGGGTCTTCTCGTCCAGTTTATGGTTATGCGATTGCCTTCCTG